CCGCAGAGCGCAGTCTCAGCCCAGCTGCCCAGCCCCAATGGCCCCGGTCCAGCGCTGGGCCACAGAGCGCAGTCACAGCCCGGCTGCCCAGCCCCGATGGGCCCCGTAAAACTGAAACAAGCTGCCCTTACCGTGTACGCTGATGCTTATTGTTGTTTCACTAAAACAAATACTGGCTTGAGCAGTGAAGCCCATCCGCCACGAGCACTCTGATCTAAGCTGCCCCGGGGCGGTGTCCTGTAACTGTGACTCGTGTTCCTGACTCGCTTGGAGGTTTGTGAGGGCGCTGCAGTGCCTGGACAGCGATAAGCAGCACTGCTGACGGGCTCAGAACAGGAGGCGCCAAAGCTGGGTGCCAACAAGAGAAGGAACCGTGGGGGGGTCGGCGTGAGTCAGACACTGTGCACCACAGAGGGGCTCCGTGTGCTGGTAGGTGACTGTTTACACGTAGGTTCCACTCAGCCATCGTAACGGGCTTCACAGTTGCTTCCGTCTTACAGCTGAGGGGACTGAGGCTGAGAGACGTGCGATGACGCACCCAGGGTCAGTGTCCCCGAGCCCTGTCTGGTCACGTGCCACCCTGGCGATGGTGGTGCACGGTCGAGTGCTGCTCTTTTTGCAGCCTTTCTTCCCCCCGATCCGGAGGGCGAGTGGTCCTGTCCTCTGTCTTAAGTAGTTTGTCTGGCCTGGAAGGTAACTCTTCTGCTGACGTGTCTTGGTACCTTCGGGAGAAACACGTTTGGGGCAGGGCCTGCAACAAGTGGCAGCACCCTTCACGTGCACGACGGCAGTTTAGGACTCATGATTTTGGAAAGGTTCCCTGGGATTTCGGTGAGGCAGCCAGGTTGCCTCTTACTGTTTTTAACAGTGCAGCTGTCTCTGTGATCACACACAAGTCTCTAACCCACATCCCCATTCACCGTGTGTTCCGTGTTTCTGTCACGATTGGAAGCTGGTATGAAGCACGACGTGTAGACTGAACACGGATGATGAGTTTGTTCAGATTTGTGCTTGTGAGGGGCTATGAAGGGCTTGCGTGGATTTGCTTGGAGAGGGGTGGCCTCTGAGGATCCAGAGAGCCTGACTTCAGTCCCAGCCTCCCCCACATCAGCCATGGACGCCTCTGGGTCTCCACCTTCCATCTGGGACGCGGGGTGAGGGCAGCTGACACCTCGTGGGCTCGAGTGCCGGCCAGCTGAGTGTATCCAGTGTGAATGCTGTGGTGGTTAGCTGCCCTTGAGTTGGCCCTGACTCACGGCACCCCGTGCACAGTGGAACGAAACACTGCGCAGTCCTGTGTCATCCCCATGACTGGTTGTGGATCAGACTGTTGGGATCCACACTCAGGGACAGCTAACCCCTGGGCCTGGCACCGTTGGCCGCAGCAGGTAGCTCAGAAGGGCAGTCTTTGCTAACTGTTGTTGAAATGCAGCGTGCCTCAGAATCCTTCTCAGCACACAGCTTTTGGTAGATTTCCCATAAAAGTCAGCATGTTCGATACGCGTGTGCTGGACTTGAGGCTTCCTGATGGCTGGTCCCTGTGAATCGGTGAACCGTTTCCTCAGCTTTTGGCGACTGAGGACAGTCTGAGCGTCTGAACAGATCCATTTGAAGGCAGTGAGCGGGGCTTAGATGCCTGACCTCGTGCGTCCGACGCACAGACGCGGCCACCTCTTGGCACCCTCGTCGCTGGCCCGCGTAGAGATGAGGTCTCCTTTCCGCTTGTTGGGAGCCGCGGCCTTTCCGGCTGAGACGGTAATCGCTTTACAGATAACTTTACCGGCAGCCCCTGTCTTGGCAGCCGGTGTCAGTCACGTTCTCTCAGCAGTTAATCACTCAGTGCCTCGTGACGCTGCTTCCGCTGTTGTCCGGAATGGTTGCCTAAGTCTTAGCTTCTCACGACTCCCCACCCGGTCATCTTCCTCCAGGGAGGCACTGTGAGCCTTGTCCACAGGGGGGCAACAAGAAGGCGCGGTCTGATTGCGCGGTGGGCTCAGGGTCCACACACACGTCATTCAGAGCTGGCTGCCCTGGCACCAGCCCTCGCGAAGCTCTCCTCAACTCTTGGCTGTTCTGTTCACAATGCTTGGAGCAAGTTAGCGACCCAGCTATACGGGCTGCCTCTGGGTTTCCTGGGCAGGGCAGAGCTCGCCAGGTCGTACTCCACAGGGACAGCACAGGAGGAGGTGAAGGAATTTCTTCTGTGATGTTGTTCCTTTGAGAAAGTGAGGCAGTTTTAGTCATCTTCATGCAAAGGGTTTCTAACCCCTTCCTCTTTTTAGAAAAGATTTGAAGAGCTAACAGAGGCATATAAAATGCCACGGGATGAAAAAAAAAGAACCAAAAACCAAACCTGCCCGTTTCCGTCAAGTCAATTCCGACTCATAGCAACCCTATAGGACAGAGTAGAGCTGCCCCTTAGGGTTTCCAGGGAGCAGCTGGTGGATTCGAACTACCAACCTTTTGGTTAGCAGTGGGTGAGAAATTAGGATGGGTGTGGCTAGAGAGGAAGCCGGGGTTGGGATGGTCTGGCTCGGAACCACTCTGGGGCCATCACAAGAATCAGTTAGAATTCACAGTGTCCAAAGACAGACGCGCTCCTGTGCCTAGAGAAGCACGGGGGACTGAGGCAGGCATGCAGCCCTGCAGGGGCAGCAGACGACGAGACCCCCAGTAACCCCCCAGCAGTACAGAGTGACAGCCTGCGACCCCCGGAGTGGGCAGTTCTTCCTTCTGAGCAGCGGGAAGTATTGTCAGTGCGTCACCCTCAAAACCGACTTCAAGGACTTTCATTAAAAAACAAAAAACCTTGATTTAAGGTGGCTTCATCCCTGGGGGGGGGGGCACAAATGGTTACCACGCTCAGCGGCTAACCGGAAGCTTGGTGGTTGGAGCCCACCCAGAGGTGCCTTGGAAGAAAGGCCTGGTGATGTGCTTCCAAAACATCAGTCCTTGAAAACTCTGTAGAGCATAGTTCTACTCTGATACACATGGGTGGTCCCACGAGTCGGGGTCAACTCAGACTGGTTTGGGGTTTTTGGTTTTGTCACATCAACCAGTTCCCCCTGGTGTCTTTGTCCCAGGAAAATGAAGACAAGGTTGGACAACCCAGCAGGCCACCCTCCCCCAAGCAGAATGTGAGGAAGAATCTCGACTTTGAGCCCCTCTCCACCACCGCCCTCATCCTGGAAGACCGCCCTGCGTAAGTCTCTCCAGAGAACAGCGCGTCTGTTTAGTGGCCGATGACAGTGTGCTAGTCACCTTTTCATTAAAAAGAACTGGGGTCACTGGAGGACGGGCAGCTGTCACTCGTTACTGTGCCGAGTCCCTCTCAGCTCCCAGTACACACGCGTGCTGTCGGCCGCTAATGACTCATCGGAGAAACAGCCCTTCAGTATCGAGGTCTGGGCCAGAATTGTCCATTCCAGTGGCTTTTCTTCATTTAGCATTTTAAAGTGTTTAAGGAGCTGTTATAAACGGTAAACTGGTTTGTAACTGCAGGAAACACCAGGAGGCGGGCTGGGCGCCGGGTCTGTATTCACAGGCTGCTGGCCCCCTGGCCTCGGCCCCAGCCCCCTGTGTGATAGGGGCAGGTCCAGGTCACTGGTTATAGATTGTGTTTGGAGATGGGACAGGAGGGACTGCCCCATCACAGCAGGGTCTGAAACATCACACCACGTTTGCGAGACACAGAAATACAGTGTGCATTTTTATATAAAATGAGATGAACCACGGGGCTGATGGGAAACTCCCACCCTTAGAAACCTCCCCAGGAGATGTACCCATCCAGTGTGTGCTGCTTGCTGCCAGGGTAGCCGGCGGGCCGGGAGTTGCGGTAGGCCATGGGAGTGTGCTGGGGTAAAAATATCGGGATTTAGCATTTGTTTATTGGAATTACGGATCATTGTTAGTTCTTCCTACTAATCTGTTTGCTTCAGATTTCCTGCAGTGAGCAAATTGTTTTACTTTAAAAGAGTGTTTTTATGAAAGAGCTGAGCTGTTGGTCTTTGTCATCTTGAAAAATGCAGTTGTTGATCTTCAGCTTTATATTTTTTTAGTAAATAATGCTTCAGGTTTTTTCCCTCACAGAGGTTTATTCAGTATTTGTCATGGTGAATCCTTTGTTTTCTGTGAAGGAATCTCCCGGCCAAGCCAGCTGAAGAAGCTCAGAAGCACAGACAGCAGTACGAAGAGATGGTGGCTCAGGCCAGGAAACGAGGTAACGGGACCCACACGTGCTCGGCAGCGGGCGGCCGGGAGGGCCAGCTGCTGTCCTTCTTGAACCTGAACTCTGGCGACGAGTGCTTTAATGTTTTTGGAACTTGTAGTTTTCTGTCAAAATGCATGTTTCTATTCTCCTCTTCTGGGAGTTTTATTCAAGGTGAGAAGACTCTGGACTTCCCCGAGGAAAGAGGCCGGCTAGAGTGGGGTGGGATGAGATGGGATAGGAAGCTCCCGCTGCTCGTGCCGGCCACATCTCTCTCCCTCCCTGGGCGCAGTTTTGTTTATTAAAGCCCCTTGCAACACCTAAAAACCGCATGATTCTGGAGTGTTGAAAAAGCACAGGCATGCATTGTTTAACGTCCACGATACGTTCTGTGAAATAGGAATTACATGATTTGGACGTTGTGTGAACACCCGGGTCTGCGAGGTGTCCAGCTGAGACACCTCAGGTGGGTGGTCAGCTAGGTCCTGCCCGGCCATGGCCCCGCAGCCCGTGACGGTCACAGCAGGGGGGGCTCCAGTCGTGGGCCAGGCCAGCAGGGGAACAGTCTCAGCAGCCCGGCACCCCTGCCCTGCCGGGCCCACGATGCCTGCCGACCCGGGCGCTTGGGAACGGGGTCAGGCACCTCCTCCTCCCAGTGGCAGGAGTGCCTGTTCCCGTGGGTAGGGGGCAGTGGGCTGGCTGCCGAGTGGGGCTGTCGGCGGTGGGTAAGCACCGGAGCACAGACGGGTATGCAGTTGGATGTTGCCTGGACGCACATTATATGGCATGTGACTGCACGCGCAAACCGAGACGACTGGTTCTTCTCAGGGTCGCCTTTTCCCCGTTAAGAGTCATGTTTGATGACCCTGCGTTTAGTCCTAGACCAGAAGGCAGAGCTGTTTAGAAAGAACTTTACTGGGGAAAGGGGAGAAACTTGAATGGGTCTGTAGGTTGTATTGAAGTACCATGTCAGTATTAATATCCTCATTTTTACAGTTGTACTGAGGTTGTTTGCAGACGTGTCTTCGTTTTGGGGAAGTACATGCTCAGGTATTTAGAGGTGAATGGCCACGACGTGTAGAGCTTACTCATGCGTGGTTCTGAAGGAGGGCAAGCGATCGAGCGGGGGAGGGAGAAGAACAAGACAGACCCCAGGAGTTAAGGATGTACAGGAATCCTTTGTTAAATCCTGATGATTTTTCTATAAGTTTTAAGTTATTTCAAAATGGATGGTTAAAAAATGAGAGTAATGGTTAGGCTGTTGGTTGCCAGGATAGAGTCCCCTCGGGTGGGGTGGGGTGGGCGCAGAGGGTACTGGTGTCTGTCACACCCAGGCTTCGGCCGGGTGGTGGTACGTGGGCGTGTCCCCTGTATGGTTGAAGTTTATACGTGTACACTTTTTGGTGTACGTGTATTTAAGAAGCTCACTGAGAAGTGGGTGGTGCCTGAGTGTGCTCGGCTCAGCTTTGAGTTAGCACTGGACTGTCACACCGTGACCTTTGGGTACAGTCACCACGCCTGGAAATGGTGGCTGTCCACCAATGGCATCGTCTTCTCGTTGGCGCGGTGGCATCTAGAGCTGAAGGAGGCCCAGCGGCGGAGGAGGCAGCTGGAGGAGAGGTGTCGGCTGGAGGAGAGCATCGGGCATGCGGTCCTCACCTGGAACAACGAGATCCTGCCTAACTGGGAAACGATGTAAGAGCCCCTGCGTGCGGGGCCGCGGCTGTGTCCGTCGCAGGCTGTGACGGCATCGCGCGGGGAGCTGAGTGGCACAGCCACCCCCCACCCCCGCCGCATTATGGGCTCAGCTCCGTCCTTCCTGAATGTGGCCCCTTCTCCTCCTCCCCATCCAGTTCCTCCCTGGCAGCCACAGGGGCTTTCAAACATGCGTCTGCATCCCTTCCTACTTAACATTTCAGTAGCTGCCTGAGACTCCCAGTCTGACGTGTGTGTCCCTTGGCTTAGCAGTCAGGGCCCGTGTGAGCCAGTGTGCCCTCCGTACAGCCCTGTTACCTCCCCTTCCTTTGATAGAGCCTCCTCCCTGCGGGGTGAGCCTGTGGCCTTTGCTGTCCCTTCCTTCTGCCTAGAGAATGCTGGGTCTCTTGAACCCTGGGCCTGAACTCAGAGTGGGTGGGGTTGTGACTCAGCAGGTGTCCCTGGCTCCCAAGCCTGGGCGGGGCACACGAAGGCCAGTGTTTCTTCTTTGAAAATGGACTCACAGTTCTTCTCCTGTCCAGGTGGAGCTCTAGAAAAGTCCGGGACCTGTGGTGGCAGGGCATCCCGCCCAGCGTGCGCGGCAGAGTCTGGAGCTTGGCCATTGGCAATGAGTTGAACATCACCCACGGTGAGCGCCCGCTGGCCTGCCCACTGCTCCCACACCTGAACAGAGGCAACTGTCCGCCCGAGGGGCGAGCCGGCCGGTGCTTCTAGCTGGCGATGTGGGCCAGAGGCCCCACCCCCTCTTGTGGTCTGCATCTTCCCGGGCGGATGGGGGTACGCTGATCATGAGGCTCCAGGCATCCAGGCCGGGGTACGTTAGGACCCCTTGTCAGAGCTGACCGAGAGCCGGCCCTGGCGGTGAGCAGTGGGGAGGGGACGTGGCGGGGGAAAGAGTCTCTGTCTGTGGAGTGTTGTATCCTGTACCTGCTGGCCTTTGTCGGATGTTTTTCTCAGGCAGCTGATGTTTAAGTGTCTGGGGGAGACCACATACTGTGCTAGAGCTGGGGGCCCTCTAGGATGAGGGGCTCCTTTAGGATGGGGTCCTCTAGGGCAGGGGGGAGGTCCTCTACGATGGGGGGTCCTCTAGGGTGGGGGGGTTCCTCTAGATTGGGGTTCCTCTAGGGTGGGGGGGGTTCCTCTAGACTGGGGGTCCTCTAGGATTAGGGGGTTCTCCTAGGGCAGGAGTCCTCTAGGGTGGGGGTCCTCTAGGGTGGGGCATGCGGGTCCTGGCTGCATCAAGTCTAGAGGGGTGAGGCACGTGCTCCTCGTCTTGCAGAGTTCGTTGTGTATATGCATTTGCGTACGCATCTCCACCGCTGGGGCTCCTGGGTTCCCGCCCCGGCAGCCAGAGTGAAGCAGGCAGGAGGCACCACGGCTGCAGTGAAGGGCTCCCCCGGCCACCCTGTCTGCTTCCCAGTCTGAGCCCCAGCTGCAGGCAGGCCTCCTGTCCTGGGGTTAGAGCTGCGGCTTGCGTGTGGCGCGGTTGTTGAAGGTGTCTGAGTAGGAGACAGGTTGGTTTTACCTCCCTCTATAGCCAGGGTTTGTGGTGGTGGTGTTATTTTTGTCTTCACGGGCTGCCCCACCCCACGATTGTGACTGGGCCCCAGCAGGGCTCTCCTGGAGTGCCTGACGCCAGCAGGTTGGTTGGGTGGTGAGCAGCCCAGAGGGAGAGAGCCCTCTTCGGGGCCCTGTTTTCAGCTGAGTCTGTACCTGCCAGTTTTGTTTCAATGTCTTCACATGAGAAGACATGTGTAACACTTGACAGGTGGGGTGTTTTTTTTTTTTTTTTAATTTTTTTTAATTGTACTGCAGGTGAAGGCTTACAGAACAAATAGTTTCCATGAAACAGTAGTACACATATTGTTCTATGACATTGGTTAACAACCCCACAACATGTCAACCCTCTCCCTTCTTGACTTTTTTTTTTTTTCTTTTTTTGGTGAAAATATACATAACCAAAGATACACCATTTCAAAAATTTCTACATGCACACTTCAGTGACATCAGCTACGCTCTTCCAATTGTGCTGCTATTCTCACTTTAGATGAAGGCTTATAGAACAAAATAGTTTCTCATTTAACAGTTAGTACACATGTTGCCCTATGACAATGGTTAACAACCTCACAACACATCAACACTATCCTTACTCAACCTTGGGTTCCCTATCAGCAGCTTTCCTGTCCGCTTCTGCCTTCTGGCCCTTGTCCCTGGACTGCTGTGCCTCATTAGTCCCATTTGGTTTTATGGGGCTATCCACTCCCCGGCTGAACAGTGAACCTTGGAAATGACTTCACCACTGAGCTAAAAGGGTGTCTGGGGGCCATACTCTCGGGGTTTCTCCAGTCTCCTTTAGGCCAGTAAATCTGGTCTTTTTTTTGTGAGTTAGAATTTTGTTCTACATCCTTCTCCAGCTCTGTCCAGAACCCTCTGTTGCAGTCCTGGTCAGAGCAGTGAGTGTTGGTAGCCAGGCACCATCTAGCTGTACTGGACTTAGTCAGGTGGAGGCCTTGGTAGCGGTGGTCCATTAGTTCTTCGGACTAATCTTTCCCTTGTATCCTGTTCTCTTCATTCTTCCTTGCTCCCGAAGGGATGAGACCAGTGGGGTGTCTTAGATGGCTGCTCACAGGCTTTTAAGACCCCAGACGCTACTCACCAAGGTAGAATGTAGAACATTGTCTTTATAAACTGTGTTATGCCAGTTGAGCTAGATGTTCCCCTGAGACCATGGTCCAGGTGGGTATTTTTTAAAAGTGTCCCCAGAAGTAGAAGTGTGGAGAAATTCTTTGATGTTTACCTCAGTCCATGTTCTTGGGATTTCTGAACTCGACCAGCAGCCCTGCTTAAGCAAATGGAATGTGTGTGCGATCTGGCTCTCACTGATGCCTGGACTGACTTGTTTAAATTAAAATCTACAGAATCGCCTGTGGTCTACGTTGTAGTAGACGGGGCCAAACAGCTCATTTGTGAGGTATATGATTTGAAAGTTTTGTTTAAACTTTGATATTGGCCTGTTTTGTTTAAATTGTCTTACTTGTGTGATTACCTGCCTGATGTCTGTTGCCCCCACTAGAATTAGAATTAGCACTCCAAAGCAGGGCCCTCACCTGGGCTGCCTTGTGAGCCCACACCTTGGCTGGTGTGTTCTCTGTCTCCTGTGCCCACCACAGCTCTTGCCACATGGAGGGCCCTCAGGGAATATTGTGGAGTGATCAGAGGCCACTTTTGTGGGTCCTCCTTCATCTCAGTTTGCTCCGTGTTCAGGCCAGCACAAGAGCACGGACGACCTTGACTTCCAGTCGTTGAGCATCAGGCATTGAATGCCATTCTCGACTTGCAAGGTCTTAATCCATAATGACTACAGTCATGTGGGGACAGACATTATTAACCTCACTTTTCTGTTGAGGTTTAGCATCCTGGGAAGGTTCCAGGCTGTGTCCAGGCCTCGCGGGGTGTGGGGAAGCTGGGATTCTAGCCCTGGCCGGTTCTTGAGCCCATTGTCTGAGACTGGCTTTTCTAGAGGGCCAAAACCAGTGAAGTGTATGTATAAATGACGAGACGAGTGCAGGATCAAGAGAGAGTGTGAGCTCTACCAGAACGCCCATATGCGTGTATAAATGACGCGATGAGTGCAGGATGGAGAGGGCGCAAGCTCTGCTGAAATGTCCATGTACGTGTATGAATCACGAGACGAGTGCAGGATGGAGAGAGAGTGCGAGCTCTGCCGGAGCGTCCATGCACGTGTATGAATGACGAGGCGAGTGCAGGATCGCGAGAGAGCGCGAGCTCTGCCGGAACGTCCATGCACGTGTATGAATGACGAGGCGACCGCAGGATCGCGAGAGAGCGCGAGCTCTGCTAGAACGTCCATTGATGTGTATGAATGACGAGAAGAGTGCAGGATCGAGAGAGAGAGCGCGAGCTCTGCCAGAACGTCCATTGATGTGTATGAATGACGAGAAGAGTGCAGGATCGAGAGAGAGAGCGCAAGCTCTGCCAGAACGTCCATGTACGTGTATAAATGACGAGACAAGCACAGGATCGAGAGAGAGTGCGAGCTCTGCCGGAACGTCCATGTACGTGTATGAATGACGAGACGAGCGCAGGATGGAGAGAGAGTGCGAGCTCTGCCGGAACGTCCATGTACGTGTATAAATGACTAGACAAGCACAGGATCGAGAGAGAGTGCGAATTCTGCCGGAACGTCCATGTACGTGTATGAATGACGAGACGAGCGCGGGATGGAGAGAGGCGCAAGCTCTGCCGGAACGTCCATGTACGTGTATAAATGACGAGACAAGCGCAGGATCGAGAGAGAGTGCGAGTTCTGCCAGAACATCCATGTACGTGTATGAATGACGAGACGAGCGCAGGATGGAGAGAGAGCGCGAGCTCTGCCAGAACGTCCATTGAGGTGTATGAATGACGAGGCGAGTGCAGGATCGCGAGAGAGCGCGAGCTCTGCCGGAACGTCCGTGGATGTGTATAAATGACGAGGTGAGTGCAGGATCGAGAGAGAGCGCGAGCTCTGCCGGAATGTTCATGTACATTGGATGCAGGCCACGCCGGCAAGGAAACACCCTTTCTGTGAAGAACAGTATGTGAAATACACTCCCGCAGTCTGTGAGGATAACGCTGTTTGTGAGCATGAGTTATCATTTCACTAGTACCGCACTACCCAGAGAGAACCGTTAAAAAATAAGCTTCAGACCTGGGGGAGACCTGGAGATCATCTTGTGGGTCCTCGGTCCTAATAGTCAGCTAGCACCTTCATCTCTGAGAGTCTTCTTGTCCCTGGCATCTGCTTGCGCCCCTGCTCCCCTGTGGAGGCAGGACCACGCAGGTGTAGCTCCATCTTGTCCACATCTGAAACCAAATGGCTTTTCTGCTGTCCCTCCCCCATCGATAGGCGCTCCCTGGGCGTGTTGCTCTGTGTCCCGCCCATGCGGTTAGCTCTGTGCATGGGTGAGTGAGAGACGCCTGTGTCATGGTCCCCAGGAGCACACAGCCCAGTCAGGATTATAGATCAAAACAAAGCAGCCTTGTGGGTGTATGCTTGTATTCTTTCTCTGTTTACGGTGGTGGTTTTAAGTAATACAGGTGCTCCTGGCCAAGCCAGTGGGACCAACACGGTGGACTTGGCATACATGATGGGCACAGCGTGTCCCCGGTGCCCTGAGCATGGACACTCACCGAGGCCTTTCTTGCAGAGCTCTTTGACATCTGCCTCGCCCGAGCCAAGGAGCGCTGGCGGTCCCTGAGCACTGGAGGCCCCGACGGGGAGAGCGAAGGTGCGTCCAGCCTGAGTCTGTGGGCAGTGGGCTGCTCTGGCCGCTGCCCGTGTCATTGCTGACCGAGCAGCAAAGAGCTTGCTTTACGGCAGTGGGGAGGTGCAGGTTTGTAAGGCTCCGTCAGAAAAGGGGTTTTAAAGGCACACAAGTCAGAGAGAAGAAGCTTTTATAGAAAACAGCATACCAGCTCGCGAGGGCATCTGTGTCCCAGCTGCTGGTGGCCTGCCTGCTCCTGCCTGAGGCCTCCCCGACGAAGGCCTTCCCTTGCTCCTGCCCGGGGCCTGCCCGACGAAGGCCTTGCCCTGCTCGTGCCCGGGGCCTCCCCGACGAAGGCCTTCCCCTGCTCCTGCCCGGCGCCTGCCCGACGAAGGCCTTCCCCTGCTCCTGCCTGGGGCCTCCCCGACGAAGGCCTTCCCTTGCTCCTGCCCGGGGCCTGCCTGACGAAGGCCTTCCCCTGCTCGTGCCCGGGGCCTCCCCGACGAAGGCCTTCCCCTGCTCCTGCCCGGCGCCTGCCCGACGAAGGCCTCCCCCTGCTCCTGCCTGGGGCCTCCCCGATGAAAGCCTTCACCAGGCTCCTCACGGGGCTTACGTAGCTGGTGCTGGCATGTAGGGGAAGTTGGGGGAGCTGCTTCCAAAAACACAGAGATAAATGCATATTGGCCAGGTCACACCCCTAGAACTTCTCATCACACACAAGAGCTATTTTTTCTGATTTTTTTTAACGCCGTCTACATGCTATTAGAACTCAGAAAAATGTAAAAGAAGTTATCCAGAAACACTTGTTAGGAATTGCTCCCGTGTGATCTGAGTTTATACCAGTGATGTCTTAGATCACGTAACGGTTTCTTGTTTTCCATGCCTGGAGTCCATTTGTGGACCTTGGCATCTGTGTCCTTTTGCTTTTCCTGACTGTAGTTGCTGAGAGGTAAAATCCAGTGAGATTTTGATTTTGGACCTCGGGAAAATGCTTGGCTATGGTCTGACTGTAACTGGTGCCCCCTAAAGGCGGGGGCTCGTACCCTGCCAGGCTGGGGTGTGTCTGAGGAGCGCTCTGTCCCTGTCCCGTCCCGCTCGCCTCTCCTGCCTTGGACCAGCGCCATGTCCTCTCTCCACAGATGCCGGTCTCCCAGTGGCCGACCGAGAAGCCAGCCTGGAGCTAATTAAGCTGGACATCTCCAGGACATTCCCCAGTCTCTGCATTTTCCAGCAGGTAGGTTGCGGCTGCTCGTTGCTTTCAAGCATGTTTTGTTGAAAACTCACAGATGCCATACTGCGTATATGTGTAATCAAGTTTGAAAAGTACTTGGGTTTTGTTAGAATGGGTGGGGTGGGTCTTATTGGTGGTACATTTAGACTTTTTGAAGTAAGTGTGACGGATCCTTTCTGACAATTGCTTAGTGTGACTATGTTCTGCTTTTTTTTTTTTTTGTATTCTGCCTTTAAAGGCAGTTCACCAAGCCCGCTAAGGAGCAAGCAGAGGGTCAACTCAGCTTCCTACGCCCACTCACTAACCAATGGTCACTCTGGTCTGAGCTGGCAACCAGGGGGAGGGGCCATCGGTCCTGAGGGAGAGCTTGGGGACACTGAGAAGGGGTCAGTCAGGGTCAGCGAGCCAGGATGGGGCCAAGCACTGGGGAGGGACAGTCTTAGGCCAGGTGGTGCTGGCGCCAGGTCCCACCAGAGCTGTGGGATGGAGGACTGAGCAGTGGCTGTGTCCCATGGGGACTAGGGAGCTGCTGCCATTCTGGAATGACCACTGGAGCCGACACAGGCCCAAGCATCCGGCATCAAAGCCCGGGCCCTGAGATGCAGGCTCTGGATGGCCCGGTATTGCTGGGTTTGCAGGCCACTCTGCCCCTTCCCCTGTTCTCCAGTGCTCCCTGGGAGAGGCCACCTGTGCTGCGGAGGCTCTTACTCTTTCGGTTCCCTGGGTACCTGAGTCCAGGTGGGAATGTCCCCGTGGGTCTCCAGGAGTCTTTGCGACAGAGGAAAGAGGGAATCTTCAAAGTGACTTGGGCAGCTGTCCTGGCCCTGTAAAGCCTGGCTTTGAGGACATCCTCCAGCCCTTGGCGCTCCTCTCCACCCGGGTGACTGTCCCCGGGACCCTGCTCTCCCCTGCGTGACTGTCCCCGGGACCCTTCTCTCCCCCTGGCAGCCTTCAGCCTCTTTAGTGTCCTCCCCTGCTGGCTCCCAGGCCTCAGTCCCTGCATGGGGTAGCTCCTCTCTGCCCTCGCGAGGTGGTCCTGGTTCCTGTCCAAGGAGGGACTGGCTTCCCCAGAGGCACCAATGGTCACGGACCTCGCCCCACTCCGTGCTGGGCTCTGGTGGGGCCCTCTCTGTAGGGAGGATTTTCATCTTTGACTTGATGCAGATTTGGGTTTGCCTTCTGGGCAGCCTGTGACCTTGAACAGCTGCTTAGGCCCTGTGCGCCGTGAGCACCCGCTTAGGCCCCGTTAACCGTGAGCACCCGCTTAGGCAGGCCCTGTGCACCGTGAACACCCGCTTAGGCAGGCCCTGTGCACCGTGAGCACCCGCTTAGGCAGGCCCTGTGCACCGTGAACACCCGCTTAGGCAGGCCCTGTGCACCGTGAGCACCCGCTTAGGCAGGCCCTGTGCACCGTGAGCACCCGCTTAGGCAGGCCCTGTGCACCGTGAGCACCCGCTTAGGCCCCGTGAACCGTGAGCGCCCGCTTAGGCAGGCCCTGTGCACTGTGAGCACCCACTTAGGTCCTGTGCACCGTGAGCACCCGCTTAGTCCCCGTGCACCGTGAGCACCCGCTTAGGCAGGCCCCGTGCACCGTGAGCACCCGCTTAGTCCCCGTGCACCGTGAGCACCCGCTTAGGCAGGCCCTGTGCACCGTGAGCGCCCGCTTAGGCCCCGTGCACCGTGAGCACCCGCTTAGGCAGGCCCTGTGCACCGTGAGCACCCGCTTAGTCCCCGTGCACCGTGAGCACCCGCTTAGGCAGGCCCTGTGCACTGTGAGCGCCCGCTTAGGCCCCGTGCACCGTGAGCACCCGCTTAGGCAGGCCCCGTGCACCGTGAGCACCCGCTTAGGCCCCGTGAACCGTGAGCGCCCAGTTCGGCTCTGTGCTCTGAGTTTGCTCATCTGTGACGAGGACGGATACCAGCATCCTTACAGGGCTGGCTGTCCTAGCACAGAACAGACGCCCCATAAACATTCGCTATTATTAAACACCTTTGAGGATAACTTAAAACTGAAAGAACTGAGTCCGCCGGAGAGTCGGAGAGCTGCCTCGCGTCAGGCGGCAGCAGTGCGAGTGTAGAGAGAAGGGCTGCGGCCGCCCGAGGTCTCCACCCCTCTTTCTAACCCCGTGCAGGGGGTGCCTATGCCCAGATAGAAAGCGGGTTGCAGTGCTTCCTAATAGCAGATACGGAAGGTGTGAAAAAGGAAGAGAAAATTCTAGAAGGCCTGCCCTGGAGAAAGGGGGTGACTAGAGCTCAGACAGCAGTTTGAAGTCTTCACTCTGGGGGTGCTCTGAGGTCTCTGTGTCAGGAAGGGGTGGGGTGCCACCAGCTCGGCCCTCTCCCACAGTAGCCACTCAGCACAATAGCCAGAGAAGCCAGAGTCTGGCCTGGGACCCCTTCCTTACCTAGGGCCCCTCCTGCACCTGGGCCCCCCCCCCCAACTTTGGGCCCTTCCTGCACCTGGGATCCCTCCACGCCTTGGGCTCCTCCTGCACCTGGGGCTCCTCTTGGACCTGGGATCCCTCTGCACCTGGGGCCCCTCCTGCACCTGGGACACCCCCCCCCCACATCTGGGATCCGTCCACACTTGGGACCCCTTCTGCACCTGGGATCCCTCCCTCACTTTGGGCCCCTCCCACATCTGGGATCCCTCCACACCTGGGGCTCCCCCCCCACCTTGGGCGCCTCCCACATCAGGGATCCCTCCACACTTGGTTCCTCTCCTGCACCTGGGATCCCCGGCTCACCTGGACCCCCCGACCTGGGGCCCGTCTTTCCTGGAGCACCTCCTGGGGGCTCACTGTCAGGACTGTTGGTAGGAGAATCACTGGGGTCACCTCGGTTTGGAAGGTCTGCTGGGAGGGGAGCTTTAGGGGCCTCTCTCGGGTGAGGTTGAAAACGGCAGAGGTGGGGGTGGCCTTTCTCTCAGGGTTCCTCTGGGCGTGTCTCCCTCAGCCTGTGGTTCCCAGAGTTCTAGATTTTGTAAGTGGGTGATATTTAAAAACCAAGACCTGGTTGCGGGGAGGGTGCGGTAACCCCTGACATGCCCGAAAAAAGGCCCTAAGAGTAAGCAGTGCCGACTGCTGGGGCCGCCTTCTCACCAGAGAGGCTATTGGGCACCAGGGGGAGAAGCGTCCCACGGCAGCGGTCAGCATCAGGGAGGAGTCCGTGTCAGGGAGGGGTCAGCCTCAGGGAGGGGTCCGCGTGGCGTTCTTTCTGCCGTTCAGCCCGACGGCCCCGGGCACCCTTCAGAGACCCCATCCTGCCCTTGTCTCCTCTCTTATCCCGATGTCGTGCTCTCCGCCCTGTCATTGCTGGTTTTCTGCTTCTGTTCCTCCGATCTGGGAGTCTCTCTTCTTTTACCTAACTTTTTCTGTATGTCACGATGTGATCGTCTGGGCTGTGGAGTAACTTCATACCAAGAAACCATGTGTGACTCTATTCCCCGTGTTCATCGTGGGCACAGGGTGGCCGAGCCGCTTGAGCTTCTTTCTACAGGGCTTGTTCAATTAGGAAAAAATCCCAACACCTGAGTTCCTGGAAGTGTTACAGGAGCAGACGGAAGTCTGGAGGGACAGGGGAGCTGGGAATATTTGGAATAAAGTGGCAGCCATGAGGACTTAAGGCTGTTGGTGTGTTTTTTAAACCTGACACAGAAAAGCACAAAAGAAGCAGGTGGCAGGCAGGGAGAGGCGGCGAGGACGGGCGAGTGAGGGGCCAGCGGGGAGGAGTCGGGACGGTAGCTGCTCCTTGGTGCCGGCCTCGCCGGCCCTCGAACGGTCCTTGACGGGGCACAGCCTACAGCAGGAGCCAGACTCAGGGCATTTTTCCAGTGCGCTGTCCGTACCCAACCCATCAGCTCTCGTCAGAGCGGCTTCTTAGGTTGACTAAGTCGGCAGTTTGTTAAAGGACACGGTGCACACGGCGCTGCTGGTGGACGGCCTGCCTGGCGGGTGGTTCCCCGTGTGGAGAGCGGGCGTGGCTGGTGCTGCTGTCTGCAGTGGGGTTGGCAGTGAGCAGGGTGGTCAGTGAGGTAGGGGTACAGTGGGAGGGCTTAGTCATGGCAGCTGTAGGAGCGGGAGTAGGAGCAGGCGCGGTAGCAGGCACGGGAGCAGCTGTAGGAGCAGGCGTAGGAGCAGGCGTAGCAGCAGGCGTAGGAGCAGCTGTAGGAGCAGGCGTAG